ATTGTTAGTGTTTTAATTGTTCAAAAACCCTAACTTATAATTGGCAATATTATTATGGCATACTAAGATAGGATTAACTTAGTGTCAGTTTTGTTCTACAGAGGACTGATCAATCAGGCATAACAACAGAAGGACTGACACTGAAGATCTGTTTTAGGAAGCTGATTTCTTAAAAGCTGTACGCGGTTTTACAGAAGACAGATTTGGAAAGAAGATCAGCGTATCTGCTTTGGAAAGGTATGGACCGAATCTTTAAGATTACATTCTTAAAATATTGTCCTACCATCTACAATCAAAGACATCTTTGGAAGGAGTGTTCTATCGACGGATCTATAAGTACCATCATTCTAAGAGAATTAGGGTTACGCCTTTAGTGAGAAGAAACACTCCACATCAGCTTTATGAGATTAGATCTTTGATTATCTTGCCTCTTCTCAATACAACTGTTCATGGTGATTAAGATGACGAACTTGAGAAAAATCACTGCTGCTTAAACGAAAGGACACTGTGATCACATTGTTGTGGGAACAACTGTAAAGAGCGTCATTGAAGTGGACTGCATCAGAGTGGGCTCTCCAAGTGAAGGGATTTCATTGGACTTCTGTATGCATGGCTCTCCACCTTCAACAATCCACTAAATCTGTGTAGACTAGGTATGTACCTTGTGTGGGGCACTTGGGTAAGATTATTGTATATCTACCTTTGTACACTTGGATTATGATTTAGTGGATTGGACGCCTATGTGATCTCCCCCAGACGTAGATACACACTGTATCGAACTGGGTAAACATTCTGTGTTTTTGGCTTTGTGCTATTATCTTTTCCTTATTTTTCTGTATGATTTGTTATTACTGACTGACTTCATCGCTGGATCAATCAGTCCATTTCGTCAATTGATTAATCCAGTTAATCTGTTTAAAAAGAGGAAATGGAAAATTACAATCATCATCTAAATCATCATTCGAGTCACATAAGCACACTTTGGTGGCGCTACGGGACCAATCACATGCCCCGAATATGCGGGTTAGTGCGTATAGCACTAACATGGCCCCGCAGCACCCTACCTCATACCGCAGCATGAGGGGGTTGATCGCAACCAACCGTACAGACCGCCGAAAGCTTGACGGCGGATCACAGCCCTACACACCGCTGACGCGCTCAGTCGGTGGACATCGATCCTCTTATGGGGACTACGACCCTACACACCGTTGATGAGCACAGTCGGTGGATCGTAGCGAATCAAGCCTTACACACCGTTGAGGGACTCAGTCGGTGGGCGAAGATTCTCGGAGACTACGACCCTACACACCGCAGGCCCTTCACTCGGGGGATCGTAGCCAACCATAGCCCTACACACCACCTGATCACTCATTCGGTGGGCGATGGTCTTCCTCAGGCTGGTGGCCCTACACACCGCTGGCGCGTCCAGTCGGTGGACCATCCGCACACGAAGCCCGTGGGCTATAGCCCAAGAAGTGAATCACTGACCGCAACCGGGAAAATGAACCGCAGCTCATGTGTAACCAAACATTGGACCGCATGTAACACCCCGTGTTACGGCCTTTAATCCCGAATTAATTATTTAATTAATTCTGTTAATAATAAAAAAAAAGGACTTAATTTGGTTAAAATTCCCTTTAATTAATTAATGAGGTCCACCATGGATCGTGGACCCTTGCCTAAACTAGATTTTTAAGCCCATTATGAATAAAGAGAGCAAACCTTTTACTAGTCAGATCCTAATTAGGAATACTAGATACCTATATATCTATTGGGAATAAAGAAAGTAGGCCTTTACTATTCAAGTTATGATTAGGATTCCTGATTCTATAAATAGAGGATTAGAAAACATTTAGAACCCACACCACCCATAATTATATTACACGAAAATACTCTCGGAAGATTCCCCCACCACGAAGCCTAGGGAGATCAATCGGATGGAAATCTTAGAGAAGAACCTTAATAGCCAAGGGAGGATTAATTAAGGCTAAGAGGTAACCCATGTCTCAACAAAACCTATTTTCTTTGCTATAATCTCCTTCTTTAGCTCCCTCTATATGCTTGTGTCTTGACGAATTCCTTTATGTTAATCATGATATAATCTTGTTGATTGATGTGATGATTTTATGTGTGATCTTGATGTTAAAAAGAAGTTCCTGATATTTATGTGATGATTCTTGATAAATCTTGATGTTTCTTGATGATAAAGATAAAATATGATTTTAATGATTTGGATGAGATTAGAGCCCTAGGTTGGATTAGGAATTTGTATTATGATGTTCTCAATATATATTTGGGTGGGAATTCGCATGTTTGGGTGTTGTTTATGTTTAGAAGTCATAATAGGGTGAGTTCTACGTGGTTCTCGCTTTTGATCCATTAATTGCCTACGTGGTGTCGTTATTTGCGTTTAAAAGTGTCTAAGCATGGTTTCGGGTTCCACGGAGGATCCTGGGACGTTTATGTTGATACAGAGTTAGTGGGGGATAGGTGGGGGTAGGGGAACCCGCCACCTACTCGCTGCCCAAAGAAGCACCGCCGGCAGCGGGCAGGCGGCGGGCAGGCGACTGCCCGCCGGGCACCCGCTGCCCGAAAGCTTGTCGCCGGCGGGTGGCCCGCCACCCACCAGTTACCCATTGGATCGTTGCCCACTCCGGGACTTTGGCTCCCCCGTTTGATGTTCCCCAATCCCCGTGGTGTACCAACGGACCCCGTTTGTCGTGCTTGAGTCTAATTTGGTGTTTCGGGTACCATTCATAGGTTAGAAGAGTCTCGGGTATTGCATGCTAGTTGAATCGGTAACCCGTTGGCCTAAGAGAAAGATGCATGAACCCCCTTAGGACTATTCTTTGTATGTGAATGATCACACGTAAGTTTATTTATACGTCTCCCCCTTCCCAATGTGCTAATACGTGCTACTATGTGTTATGTGATGCATGATTCCCCAATTTGGTTGCGATCAAATTGGGTGTTCCTGAGCTGCAATTCAGAAGTTGGCTGCGGTCAAATTGGTTACTTATGAGCTGCGGTTCATTTTCCTGGCTGCGGTCAGTGATTCACTTCTTGGGCTACAGCCCACATGGGCCTCGTGTGCTATGGTCCACCGACTGAATCGCGCCAGCGGTGTGTAGGGCCACTAGCCTGAGGAAGGCCATAGCCCACCGAATGAGTGATCAGGCAGTGTGTAGGGCTATGGTCGGCTGCGATCCACCGAGTGATGGGCCAGCGGTGTGTAGGGTTGTAGTCTCCGAGGATCATCGCCCACCGAATGAGTCCCTCAGGCGGTGTGTAGGGCTTGATCCACTACGATCCACCGACTGTGCTCGTCAACGGTGTGTAGGGTCATAGTCCCCAAAAGAGGATCGCAGTCCACCGATTGAGCGCGTCAGTGGTGTGTAGGGCTGTGATCCGCCGTCGAACTATCAGCGGTCTATTCGGTTGGTTGCGATCAACCCCTTCATGCTGCGGTATGAGGTAGGGTTCCGCGGGGCCGTGTTAGTGCTATACGCACTAACCCTCATGTTCGGAGCATGCGATTGGTCCCGTGGCGCCACCAAAGTGTGCTTATGTGATATGAATGACGATTGAAGGATGATGTGACTGATTTGAAAGAGAGCTGTGACCTTAGATACATGTTCTTTATGATATTATCTCTATATAACTGATTATCATTGTTTAACGTGCTTATCCCTACCTGTCGAGTCTATTCCTGGTTTTAAAGCTAGAGTCTCCTAAGTATATATCTTCCTGCTTCAAAATGGTTTTCGTATATCTATATATATATATCTACCTATATTGTATTTCAACGCGTTGGAGTGGGTTACCAGCATCATTTGCTGAACAGATATATTTGGCTTTCAGGCACAGATGATTAGCTTTCGGAGCGCGCTAGAAGAACTTGGATTAGATAGATAGTTTTTCCTTGCGGCCTGCGTGCCATAATGATGTATTGAGGATATTTAGATAGTTTAGCCTGTGCATCTGAGTTCTCCACCTCAGAAGTGGCATAGCACCCCGCACTCTTATGTTTAGTAATACTCCATTTTGGGATTTAATGAGAATCTGCCTTTATTATATAAGTTTTAAAAGTTTCGAAATTTTGGGGTGTTACAGTTGGTATCAGAGCCTAAGTTCGACTCTAAGATAATGCCTTTAGGATAAGAATTTAAGACATTAGGCTTGAACTTTAGAATGTTAAGCTTAGACTTCAAGTGTTTAGGAACTTAGGATATAGGGATCTTAGGGCGTGCGGTGAGATTGTGAGTTTATCACTCTTTCTCACATACTTGTTCTTCCTTCCTTATGCTTACCCTAAAAGTTGTGACATCCTTGCATACTATATCACTACAAAAAAATACAAGAATAGCGACGGACGAATTTCGTCGCTAAATAGTGAAAATTCGTCGCTAAAGTATTTAGCGACGGAATCCGTCCGTCACAAAAACCCTCCTCGCTAAAAGTTAGCGAGACAAATTTTTTTCCGTCGCTAGACAATTTCCGTCGCTAGCGGAAATATATCCGTCGCTAAATTCCTTTTGACGACGGATCCGAAGAGGACTATTGCGAGCGAATAACGACGGAATAATTCGTCGCCATAATTAGCGACGGAAATTCCGTCGCGAGAGCAACAAAAATTCCGTCGTTAAGTTGCTACTACTATGCTCCGGCGACGAGATTTACAACGGCTTAGCTACGGATATTTACGTCGCTAAATATAGCGACGGACATGACCGTCGCTACCGTCCGTCGTTAATATAACGACGGAAATTATCCGTCACTATTCTTTTGTTATTATTTGACTTTAATTTAATTTAACTACAACTTAGTGACAGAAATATGCGTCGCTAAATTTAACTACGGATTTTTCAGTTGCTATTTCGTTACATTACTACCATATTTATCCGTCCCTAAATTTTGAAAATTAATAAAACAATTATACCCACTAATTAATATCAGAAACATGCATTAAGCCTATAATATAGTACTTGAATAATATAATTATAAAATATACTATAAGCATTCAAAGTGAATAGCAACAACAAAAGTGTTGTAGTATAATGTTACATCATTAGAACAGTACCAAATATATTAATAAACATAATCAAATCATCTCCTAAGGTTTCATCATTTGAATTAGCCGAATGTTGAGCTTGAGTGCTTGGATTGGATAACATGCCATTGCGACGCAACTCTTCCATCAAACTTGCAATTTGAGCTTGCATTTGAACCTGCATTTGAGTTCTTTCTTCTTCTCTTCTCTTTTGATGATGAATAATAATTATCCTCTGCAACTTAAACACGTTCGGGTTCCTGCAGATTCAAGTAAATAATTGAGTCTGCAAAATATTCAAGTAAATAATCATACTCTCATATCATCGGATCCAGATATCAGAAGTGACTGTCATATATCAATCCATTATTATCATCATCATCTAAGAAGTGAAACCAACCAATGTGTTCCAGTTATAAGAAATTTATTAAATACATTCATATATATAAGCTTTATTCTTTTTGAGCATTCTTCCAGTAAAGTTGACACCACTGTTCTTTTTGAAGGTGTGCAAACTAATGAAGAGAATCAGACAAAAACCAAAACAGATCCCCTCTTAAATCTCTCTTTCTACCCAAAGCCTAAAGCCCCACACTACACCAACCATCTATTCCATTCAATTTTCTCAATCCCAATAATTTTATTCTTCTATATCAAATAACATAATTTGAATTCCATACTTTATTCTCACATTATTCTTTTTCTACTTTTTCTCCTAATTCCTTCCCTCTAACCATAATTCTTATACTTAGCTATCTCTGTCACGTCAACTAGATTTGAAGTGTCATGTCACTAATATTTTATAATGTAATCATTTTAAGAAAATTTAAATATGTTGTGAAACAGAATGACAGCACATGAAACAGTTTCTCATCACAATACATTGCATATTCAAGTAAAACTGTAAAAGAAGAAGTAAAAGAAAAAAAGAAAAGGCAAAATTCACCAAATTATCATGTCTGTGCAGAAGATTGTCATTCGTTTTAAAGGATAAGGTGCACTGAGAATGCAGATCAAAATTTCTCAGTATATAGGTAATAGGACTATATGTCCAGTCCAAGCTTCTTTACAAAGGCATTTTGTTATACCCTACTATCAGTCAGATTCGATACACATTATCGTTTCAATTCCAATGTTTGAACCAAATGCCACTGAGATGTTTCAAACATATCCACTAAAATCTGCAAGTAATAGTAGTGGAACAAAAGAAGTACAAATTAGGAATTAGGATGAGTCTACTTTCATCATATCAGGATTCAGGCATTAAGACAATAATAGACTGATGATTGATTAGCAAGCAGCTAGCTAGCACTAATTAGGGCCAGTTCAGAAACTTATAACCTTGAAGAGAAGGTGGCAAAAAATTCTGGGATGAATTAGGATTGTCAGGTGTATAAATATATGATGGATTGGAGGATATAATTGCTGCATGTGAAAGCTAAAAACAATGAGCTTAAGATACATAATTATAGCTACACAATCTCATAAGGATTGAGATGTGGACCAACAACAAATAAATTAGTAACACTTCAATAATTGATAAAATCACAAGAAGGATAGTAACTGGATGTTTGATAGATATTAATTAAGTATTCGGCATATGATAATGCTCTTTTTGATAGATTCGGGAAAGAAAACACTTATAAGCTAGGACTTTAAAATTATGAAACATGCTGCAGGCGAGGCAGCGTAGCAGCGACAAGAGCAACAACCTATCAGAGGGGAAGTAAATACCTACAGATGTAAAGATAGTAGAAAAAGAAGCAAAGGGGTCCGGGGGCTTCTTTAGTGGCTTCATCATCTATCTATCCACAGATTCTACATTATTCTGTATCAGTTTAATATATTACTTTTAAGAGTACTAAAGCCAAATGATCACCCCTTTACCATGCAAATAGTATATCCACTATCAAATTATTAAAATATTGAAGTATATTTAATAATTAAATTTAACAGTGGGCATATGATGAAAATTCAGTAACTTAATAATGTAATTTGAACCTTTTATGCAATGAAACTTGGTGGACAATAGCTGAAAAACATGTTTAGATGGAAAAGTACCAACTTCCAAACTATAAAGGTGAAGTACCAAAAAAGGATAAAACTATATATAGAAGACAAACTGCAAAAAGCCCTAAAAAATTTTACCTGAGTTCTATAACCAGAATAAAATTAAAGCTAATCATAAAACTAAATTTTCTAAGTACCTGAAATGAGCAGATGAGTACCCTCGATAGAAAACCAACTTTTTCTGTTTCAGATGTTCATCGATCCAACTTGCCCAAGTCTTCAAGGCTCTTCTATAAGCTTCAACTGCATCAAATTTGGGGTAAATATACTCACCCTCCTTATAGTAATTTTTCCACATTTTTTTTTGTAATATATTACCTTCCTTGTTGCATATCACTCTTTGATTACTAACAATTTACTTTTTTTTTTTTTTTTAAACTGTGCATTTATTTCATCAAAAGCAAAACGTCTACAAACATACGCCATATCCCCAAAAGTGGGCTATGGCTCAAATAATGTCTAGGCCATTTTCGGACAACTCAAGAACATATATACTATGGGGTGGCCCGAAAGTGACCACCCCACATAAAGTACTAAGAGCTCCCAGCTCATCAAACTAGAGCATATCAAACTCAAAGGCCCAAAGGCTAACTCATCAAAGGGATCCCCGGGTAGATTCTAGCCTTAAGGACTCAAACCTCTCCAATCATTCCCTTTCTTGATCTAAAATA